GTGGAAGGTTGTGTCCTCCATCTCAAGTGGTGCAGTTTCACTCTGATCAATTTCAGCTTCTATGGGGCCTGGCTCTGTGCTCATCTGTTTAGAGTCTCCCTCTTTCATCTTTCTGAGACCTCGCAACAATTTTCAGGCTGCAGGGAAAATCAGGAGATGGAGGTCAGGAAATTATGGGAGGTTAGCTCTTCTCAAATCTGGTGTGAACTAAGGGAATTGCAATAAAAGAAGTAGCAACAGAGAGGGCTGTGCCGCCCTCTTGTTAAAGAAGGCATTGATGATGCTAACCATGATGAATCTAATCATTACTACAAACATGTCCTAATAAAACTTCTTAAAGTAACAAAACAAAATTCTCCTTTCTGTATTCCCAGTGCTCCTCTCGCAACAATCTTTGAGATCTTCCCAAGTTAGGGTAGATCCTTCCTTGGAGAATTTTCTACTATGATGAGATCTTTCCACTTGTCTCTCTTTCCCCAAAGTATCTCTTGGCCCACTTTGGCCCTAACTACCCTACTTCTTGAGGACCCTGAGGCATGGACCAGGTCATTCCATACATACTATGCTTTTTGCTCACCGCTCGGCCCCGTCTTTGGCCTTTGCTGTGCTTGATTTCCGATTCTTCAGGAACAGTGGCAGGTTGTATGGAAGGGGATCTAGGTACAGAAGCCCTTGAGACATATAAAGAAAAATGAGGCTTCTTATCTTCTTTTGACAAGGTCAAGTTTTCATTCAGTCGCTGCTGCACTTGAGTGAAAAGGATTTGGAGATCTGTGGGCCACATCCCCAGCAGGTGGTCCAGGGATTCCTCCCCAATCATCTCCTGCCTATGAAGGTCAAAGGAGAAGAAAGACTATGTTGAGGGGCAGGGATTTAGCTCAGTGGTTCCACCACCTGCATTGCAGGTGCAAGGTCCCGAGTTCGATCCCTGGTACCAAAAACAAAACAAAAAAACAAAAAAAAAGAGACTATGTTGAATCAGGGATCAGAGACAGGAGAGAGAATGGGGTGGAAAGAACTGCTATAGAACAGGCAGGGGGTTTGGCAGACAGACCAAGAGGCACAGCATAGGTAGAGGTAAATGATGATGACCAAGAAGAAAGAAAAAAATCTAAGAAGCCAAGATAGCAATGATTGGAGGGATTTGTATGGGAGCTGCAGGAGTAGCAGGAAACAATCAAAATGGAACCTGAAGAAGACAAGGGACAGGTAAGAAATAGTAAAGAAATGGAGAAAAGAGTGAGCAGACAGGGGATCTTCAAGGATAGTCTAGGAATTGAAAAAAAGCTATGAAGCCAGGTATGCACCTGTAATCCTAGCTGCTTGGGAAGCTGAGGCAGGAGGATCACAAGTTTGACCGTAAGCTGGGTAACATAGCAAGACCCCATCTCGAAAAGCAAAAGGAAAGGGGTTATGGAAGAAAAATTTCAGGAGGCCTAATGAACAGGGATGAAAAGATCATGAAGAAAGAGAATGGAAAAAAGGGAGAAGAAAATTAGCAGGTGGTAGAGAAAGGAGGAAAGCACAAACAACTTACCGGACCTCCTGGAAAGTCTCTTGTCTCTGGATCAAGTTTAAGAGTGAGGTCCTAGAGTGGATTCCAATCTCAGGCATGAAGCTGAGGGCCTTATTTCTCACTCTTTCGTCCTTATCCATTAACCCTTGGGCCACAGGCAAGGCAAAGAGATGAGTGACCATTCCTAGACGCTTCAGCCCTTCCCAGGCTAGCTCGGATCAGTGGGTTAGAATTGGTTGTATCATCCACCAGACCAGGCTCTCTCAGAGCGCAGGGATGTTGGTGACACCTGGTAAGAGGCAAAGATCTGCTCACGTGCACCAATACGGCATTGGAACTTCAGTGGGGAAGCATGGATCATAATATTGAGGATTGTTTCTATTAGGTTACTAACAACTATTTCACTCATTTTTCTTCCCAGCCAACTATGGTTTGCTGGATCTATAAGGACACTGTAGGTTCCATCCTTGGATTTTCTCATTGCTAGGAAGCTTTCATCCTCCCTGTCTTTGTATTCTTGTGCTTCACTTAAACTTCTTACCCTGCTGTGCCAGAAGAAGAAGGGTTGAGACATTTGACAGTTCAGTTCCCAATGAGGTGAGTACAGATTGCAATGAAGGTGTATTGGGCTGCCCTCTGGCCAAAGACAGGCACGAATTACTGAGTTGGGGATGTAGCGATCAGGGGCAAGGATCCATTCCCGCCCACGACCAAAGTAGCATCTTAATATCTGATAAGGGTTGAGTCCATCCCAGTAAGTCAGTTGTAATTGAGGAGGAGCCACGTAATGGTGATGGGGAGGTTTGCTCATCTGCATCCAGTCAGTTCCCACCCTCTCTTCACGTTTGGTGGAACTCAATAACACAGGACTCCCATTTGCATCTTCTTCTATGACATGTGGCACAGAATGGTCAAAGGCAATGGCCCGCTTATTGACGAGGTTCTGCAGACCCTCTAATTCCTGTTTCCCTTGACCAAGGTAGATATATTTGTGCAAAAACATGGTCTCAAAAGAGAGGAAGAAGCTTGGTATGAAAGGCTTAGAGGCCTCTAGTACTTCATCTGTTATACTCCTTAAGGAAAGACGAGAAAGCAGGGTAGGGGGAAGCAGTTTTAAACAGGATACCAGATAAAGTCCCTGGTTGAAAGTCACAAGCAGGTCACCCCGATCATTTGCAAAGCAGACTGGGCCAAAGTGCAGTGATGAATCCAGCATGGCTATTAGTCTACCATGGAAGTCCCAGATTCGGACAGAGCCATCATTACCAGCTGTGACGAAAAGACTCAAGGACAAGCAGACATCAAAGGAGGTGATGGTACACTGGTGCAGAGGCAATGTCTCTATGAATTTGGATCCTTTTTGTGACCCATAGAACATAAAATCATGGAAATTCCAGAGACGCAGGCAGTTAGAGCCTGTGATGGCACCCACAGCATTGGGCAAGAGTACCAGTTGTTTTAGGTGACAGCTGCTGAGAATGCTTGCAAGGAGCTTCACTTGTACTTTGGGTCCATCAAGCACAGCTTCTGATAAGTGTATATAGTCATCCATTCCATAAGAACACAGCAAAGAGTTTTCTCGGCCACTCAGAAGCCCCGCAGACTGTGTAGAGAGTGCCAGTACAGCCCCATAGTGTATGCATTTCTCTATTTGGGCACAGCTATGTTGGGAAGGCACTCTTATTATACCACTCTAGGGCCCAGAGAATATCAATCCTTCTATCCCTCGCCCCAAGTGGAAATGCCCATAAGCCAGGCAGTGTATAAAGTCCTGAGAATTTGATGAGGTGCATAAAAGATACTTGGCCAGGCAAGGACAATGGGTTGTGTCAAACACCAGCAGCTCTGTGCTGCCTGTTGCCACAAAGAGCTCCTCTTTGCCTGGGTCATAGGCCCAATCCACAGCCTGGTCCAGGATTGAGAAGGGCCAGGTGAGAAGCAGAAGAGCCCCTGTTAATGGGGACACAAAACGCAACAGGCCATCTTCTGTAATGCACACGATTCTGTACCAGTTATCACCACAGCAGACCCAATGCACCTGCTGGGGAGTAGATCCACAGACATGGAAGAGATTATAGAAGTAGGGCAGAGAGCACAAGGAGAACGTATAAGTAGTTTGGCAGAAGAAGACAGTGTCATCAATAAACTGGAGGTGGTACAGCTCCTCACCGAGGTCTAGTCGCCGAAGCACATTCCCTGAAGTAACGTTCCACTCCTTCATTAAGCCCTCCTTGCCAGCTGTTAGCAGGGTTTTGGCCTCTGACTGGCTGCAGATACATACCACTAATGAGGAGTGGGCCTTGAAACTGTGGAGAGCCTGGCTGTGACTGAGGTTCCATACCTGCATCTCCCCAGCCTTGTTTCCAGCATAGAGAAAACCCCGACCCAAACAGGTGAAAGAGCAGGTGATAGAGGAGCCACTGTGGGTGGATGTGAACTTCTTTACCTCTCCCAGCCTGCCCTGGCCCTGGCGCTCAAGGGCTCTCACCACAGTCTCACACAGGGCTAGGAGGGAGCCATTGGGGCCACTCAGCATGATGTCCTGGACAAGCTCATTAACAGGCATGGAAAACATGTGAGCTATTTGGAGGCCCTTGCTGCTCTGATCAATGATCCAGGTGACCACTGACCCCTGGATGCCAGACAGAAGCATCTTCATTTCTGGGTCATAGCAGAGGCAGTTGATGTTGAACCAGCAGGGCACTGTGCCTAGGGGTTTGAATGCCCGAAAGTGGTCCCCAAAGAGGTACAGGACCATGTCACCACAGTAGGCCACAAGGATATGAAAGGAACCCATGTGGACCATGGACTGGATGGGTGGCAGTTGCTCAGTCATGAAGAATGTTCTCTTTTCAACCATGTCCTCAGATTTGCTCTTCATCCACACTATAGCCTGGAAGAGATTAAGGTAGAAACTACCTAGAAAAGATAGTAGAGGAGAAAAGGGCTGACTATTCAGCTACTTTTCCCTATTCTTTTGTTAAGGAGGAAGTGGAAGACTAGAGTGATTTTGCCCCCTAGTGATGGGACTTGGAACTAGGGTAGAGGTGAAAAGCATAGGACCCTTTTTTAAACCGCAGTCTACTTTAAGGGAACTCAAGTGTACTCAACATGGAGACAGTAATTGGGGAAAGTATGGCCTGGGAGTGTTCCTGGATCCGGGTCATATTCATTTAAGGGGTGTACATTCCTTTGTTAGTTTGGTTTGAGAGCTGTATGGGTTTGGTCCATGGAAAGTGGGCTAGGAAGGGAAAGAAAGTTTTACCTGTATTTCTTTTGCATGGGGTGTCACCCAGGAGAGGGAGGCAAAGAAGTAGGCATTTTGAACAATATCTGGGACCGGTCACTCAGCACAACTGTATCATTCTTTGAGTCATCTAAAGATTCCTGGAGAGAGGCATGGCATAAACTAAGAGGCCAGGGCACACATGCACTAAATATATTCTCACAAAATTCATGATTGAAGCAATTCCTAAAGTCACACCTCCCATCCCTTCTACCTCCTGTTATGCCACACATGCACAGCTTACCACAATGGGATCTCTACACTTGTAACAAATATCCCAACTCATAAGGGAACCAGAATATTTAGGCCATATATGGATGATTTTATAGGGGGAGGACAAGGAAAAATGATATTCTTCCCAAAGTGACATTAGCCACACCTGTCCTCTAACATTCTCCCTTGTGACTAAAAGGTACTATAAAAGACAGAACATTTAACAATTACCCACACAAGTATATCACCTTAACAAGATCTCCCAAAAGTTAGCTCTAAGTTATTAAAGCTTAAAGCTTCACAGTAAGACTTTAGGACACCCTGTCTGGCCTTTAAGTTTGACAGGAACAGCGCATACACAATATGTATTACCCATGGTGCTAGAACACGTGCTGGGTAGGGCTGGGGATTTAGCTCAGTGGTGCTGCTGCCACCTGCCTCACAAGTGCAAGGTCCTGAGTTTGATCCTCAGTACCAAAAAAAAGATAAAAAAGTGTGCTGTGCAACATGTACCTGGGATCCATTTGCACAGAGCCATCCATAGCAAAACGGAGGTTGGCAAATGTTCTCTCTGCTGCCTTCTCCCTTCTCTGTTAGGAAATCTTTCTTTCCAGAGCATTGGTTCCTCTGACAATGCTTCAGAATGTTCATCTACTATAAAGTGTCTTTGTAAGAGGCCTATAGTCTTATTTGGAAATGAATGGTCCACTGTCTACTAGAGTGACAACTATCTCGAATCACAATCTATGGCTCTTCCAAAGTGCTAATTACTGTAAGATAGAGGCCAACCAATGGCATATTTATACATTACCTTGTTTTTATGTGTGACATCATTTATGAGGTATTTAAAATCTTTCCAGGTGGGAATGAGTCTGGTGGAAGACATCACCTTGATTTTCCTCGGGTCCTCCTCAGGACCATTAAACACCTGTGGGAATACAAAAGAAGACTGCTTAATACTGTTACTTTTTGAGCTAGGAATCAGAAGGCAAGAACTATGAACCCATGTTTACTGAACACCTTGTATATGTCAAGAATTACAAGATAGATCTTCTCATTTAGTCCTCACTATGGCCCTGTGACATAGGTATTGCCCTGCTTTACAGATGAGAAAATCGAAGCTTAGGGAGGATAAATAAAGGATTGGGGAATTGAATCTTAGCATTTTCTATCTAGGATATTATGGTGAGGGAAACAGAAATTTAGAGAGGGAATAAAAAGAATACCCTGACAGCCAAACAATAGTTCTTTGCTGGTTGTGGTGTGACAGGAGAACATTTTGTGAGGACTGGGAGGTCTTCAGTGTGGTCCCTGGACCTCCTACACCAAGATTATTGAGGAGGGGATACATCTTCAAATGCCAAGTCCTGGAACCTATTCTAGACATACATAGAGATGGGACCCAGAAGCAGTAACTTGTAACAAACTCCCTAGGGCATAGGTGATTCTGTTGGCATTCGAGTTACCTGAAATAGAAAGTACATAGAGAAAAGAGGCACCTGGGACTACTAGGCCCACCTGGTACAACTGCAGAAAAGACCCAGCCTGTGATCTTTTGGGGTTTTTTTTTTTGAGACAGGGTCTCGCTATGTAGTTCAGGGTGGCCTTGAACTCACTATGTGGCCCAGGCTGACTTAGAACTTGCATTGATCCTCCTGATTCAGCCTTCCAAATGCTGGGATTACAGACATTTGCCTGCACACCAAATGATGGGATCAGATGGTTTTCTTAAAGAAGATGATCTGCCATCATCTACTTCACACCAGTGGGTGGCCACAGCTCAGGTTTACTCCACTGGCTCCGTCTTGAGGCTCCAGAGCTGCTGAGAGTCATCATTTGTAGCAAATTTATAGTCACTGCCAACAATTCCCATTGTTCTCAGTATCCCACTGGGTCCCACTTCTATTCACCAGCCTACAAAAACAAAAAACAAGGCTGGGGATCTAGCTCAGTGGCACTGCAACTACCTTGTGAGCACCAGGTCCTGAGTTTGATCCCCAGTACCAATAAACAAACAAACAAAAATCATGTGGTTGGGACCATTGGAGGGAACATCTCTAGAGGATGAGTGAAGAGGGCCTTCAAACCCCAAACCTTCGTTGTTTGTTTTTGTTTTGCTACTCTCTCCCCCACCTTGCAGACCAGTTTCCTCGGAGGAAGCCTCTCTCCCAATATCCTCCACATTCTACTACCTAATCCTACTACCTGTCCTTAAAAACAAGTTTGGAGTGAACTCCAGATGCCTTAATCCCAATGGTTCTGACTGTTTAATATGTCAGTAATCTAAAAATTATCCAAAGATAGGGGCTGGGGATTTAGCTCAGTAGTTCTGCCACCTGCCTCGCAAGTGGAATGTCCCGAGTTCGATCCCGGTACCAAAAACAAAACAAAACAAAAAAAACAAAGGGAGAATTCAACTAGTCAGTTTAGGGGAAGATAAGATGTGAAGGAAAGCAGATGTTCCACCTTGCCTTGAAAGAGAGTTGGCTTTAGGGGGCACTGCACTCCACTATTGTTGATGCCCTCCCTGGGCTTCCTCTGGGTCCCTCACTGTGCTCTGTTGTCTACCCTATGAGAGAATGCATTGCTTCATATCAGGGAAAGCAGACATCAGAGTAGACATAAAATTGACAACCATGGGAAATTGTCAGTCATGGGTAATTATTCTTTGAACTTCTCTGGAACTTTAATTTTTCTTAATCCAAATTACCCCAGTGGTTCAGGTGTTTGTGCGTGTGTGTTTTCTGGTGTTGAGGAGTGAACCCAGAACCTTCACAATGAGCTACATCCTCAGGTTGTTATTTTTTAAGACAGGGTCTGCTAAGTTGCCCAGGCTGGCCTCAAGCTTGGGATCCTGCTGCCTCAGCCTCCCAGAATGCACCACTATCCTAGGCTTTTAAATTTTTTTAATTTTAATTTTTGGGGGACAATGTTTCACTAAGTTGCCTCAACTGGTCTTGAACTTGTGAGATCAGGTGATCGTCCCCTTAGCTCCTGATTAGCTGGCACTATAGGTATACACTACCATGTCCAGCTTTAGAGATTTAGCTGTAAGAAGAAAAGAACAAAGTACCATGAGTACATATACCGAGACCTGGGTATCCCAGAGGGTGATGTGTGCTCTGTACTTTGAGGGCTCTGTATGGATTATACAGCTTTACAGGTAGGTCTCACATTTGGGGAAGGGGGTGCAGAAAGTCCAGCTGATATCAGAAGGATCTGATTAGGTGACTGAAAAGCCAAGGGCACTGGGTGTGGTGGTGCATGGCTGGGCAATTTAGTGACTTAGTTTCAAAATAAAATATTTAAAATGGGCTGGATTCAATCTCCAGTAAAAATAAATAAATAAATAAAACAGAAGAAGAAAAGAAAGAGTCAGAGAAGCAACCTTGGCTTATTTGGTTTCTTTGACTTTACTGATTAGGACCTCGTTTGTCTCCAGGGCCTGAGAGTCTACTGTAGTCTTTAGCTACACAGTTAGGGCTGGGACTGGAATGCACTTACCATTCTTTATGGAAAGAAACAGTTTTCTAACCTGACAAATACGTACACATTAACAAAGTAGGCCAATTTCTATTGGGGTGAAGAGTTATTCAGGAGCCCCAGGAGAAATGATAACATCCTGAACTGACAAGACTATACAATGGTAACTAGCCATTTTATATAAACTGTTTTGTCAGATAATTATGGTGATTTAGCTTACCAACCCCTTAAAGAACTTTTAAAATAATGGACATGGTTAAAATATTTAAAAGAAAGTTAATTTTTCACATTTTACCACCTGTCCTGTTTCCCCTTTTCAGAGGTAACACTGGTTGTGTTTTTCCTGCATCTTTCTAAAGGTGTTCTGTACATATACAAGCATATATGCAAACAGTTCTCCATTCTCTCTTCTTCCTTTCTTTTCCTTTCTTTCTTTCTTCCTTTCTTTCTTCTATCTTTCTTTCTTTCTCAGTACTGGAGATTGAACCCAGGGGCACTCTACCACTGAAATACATCCCTGGCTCTTAAAAAAAAAAAAGTTTTTGAGACAGTGTCTCACTAAGTTACCCAAATGGGACTTGAACTTGCAGTCTTTCTGCCTCAGTCTCCCAACGTGCTGAGATTTAAGGTGTGAGCCACTGTGTCTAGCTACATTCATTTCTTTCTAGAGATTAACTCATGTTAATAATATAGCTCTGCTTTATTTTCCAGAAGTTGCCAGCTTCAGCACATTTTGTGTAGCTGAACTGTTATTTATCCAAATTTCGGGACATTGGACAGTTTCCAACCTTTTACTACTATGATCCATGATACAAATAAATATCTTTGTTGGAGACTCATAGAGTTGTAATTTAATTTAAATTGTAAGACTAGGCACAAAAGTATATTTCCATTCAGTATTACTTGGAATACTACTTTGTATATATTTGGGCTAAATGTTATTCAAATGAATTTCACCAGTTTTATGTAAATTTAAAATTGCATATGCAGCTTCCATTATATTTCTGTTAGTACTGCTTGAGATTGTCACTGTTGGTGGCCTGATATCCCTATTGGAACAAGAGCCTCCTGAGGGCAGCTCTTAGGAGCCTCCATCTGTCTTTCTTCTGTGTCCCCTGTAATCACTCAACCTGACATGGAGCAGGTGTTTAAGACATTTCTGTTGAATAAGTGGGCAAATGAATGACACTCTGCCCTCTCCCAGAAGAAACAGATGCTTCCCAGCTTCAAGTTGTACTGAGCATCTTCATTCAAGCAGGGTGAGGCAGGAAGGTAGTGATAGGGCTTCTTGACGAGAAGACTGCATTCCAGTCAATTCCTTCAATAACCCTTACAGAATAGAAGTGGAACTATCATTTAAAAAAAAAAAAAAAAAAAAAAGGTTCCGAGTCTGATTATGCCAACATGTGGGCTAAATTTGGCCAGAATTTCCGAGGTTGTAGGTACTCAAATACTACTTTCACAATGCGCCACCAGTGAATGAATGAAAGATGAGGCCTTCAAAGCAGCCCCGGGGTCGTGGGCCTGAGGCTGCCGGCGCAGGCAGAGCTCTGGAGCCGCCAAGGTAGGGAAGAGATGACCACATAGACTCAGGTCCCTGAGTGGGCAGGAGGGCAGCTATGTTCGCCTCTTTAAAGCAGGAGCCGCGCCTGTTACCTGCGTCAGGGCTCCCGACAACGGAGGGTCTGGCGACACCCAGAAACTCCTAGGTGGGCGAAAAGACCGAGAGATCTTCGAAGAAGCTACTTCGCGGATGCTGCGCAAGGACGCGGCCGACAGACGGGGTAGCTCCGCAACCGAACACTCAGCCAACTAACCATAGCGACGGGAGTCGCCGCGCGTGCGTACTGGCGCAGCAGCCGCTAGAACCCACCAAAATCAGTGCACACGTTCGAATGCTTAAAAAAAAAAAGTCCCGTGGGGGCCCGCGACAAATTGGCCCCATTCCGTGCGACGTGCGCGCGTGCGCATCAACGCCCTTTTCCACTGCCCCCTCCGAGGGGGGTCTAGTGCTGAGCTTCGCTTCTCCCGCCCCTCTTGAGGCTCATGCCCCCGAGGTGAGTGAAGGGAGGAGACACGCAGAGCTGTGACAAAGGCGAAACCGCGCCCGGCGGGGTGAAAAGCGCGGCTTGCGGGCTAGAGTCCGCACGAAACAAGCCTGTTTCTCACGCCCCTGGGGAGACTGCGATTGTGGTCTGGAGGCTGGAGCTGCTCGGAGGAAACTAGTGAACTACCATTCCCAGAGGGTAGCGCGGTGGTGCACCAACGGCTCCCGGAAGCCCACGCGCGCCAAACTCTTTTCAGCTCACAGCCTGTTCGGACGAAACTACAGTTCCCAGGAGGCCTCGCGCAAAGCGGTTTGGAAGTGGGTATCCTGGAAGTTACTCCGGCCACTGGAGCTGGCAGCGACCTGCGATCGGCGCAGGACCGAACACTGCGGTCCAGGGGCCCGCGGGGCGGACGGCCAGGACGCCCAGGTATGTGGCTTCAGGTGCCGGAGCGGCGTCGCGCAAAGGTTTCTGGTAATCGGTGGCTGCGGGCGGGGGTACAGGCTGTGAGGGGCGGCGGCGACGGGACTCATGCCCTCCAGACCCGGCAGGACTCTTGCTCGCCGGCTTCAGTTTTTCAGACGCACGACTCGGAGCTCGTGGGGAACGGTTTGGAGTTGGGGAGAGGTAGGTGCACGTCCCGGCTCTGCTGTTTGGGAGCTGCGGTCTAGGGAAACCGCGCCGAACTACAATGTTCTCTTCTGTAAAAAGGGGAAAGAGAATATTTTTTGTTGGGAATTCTATGGAGATGTTGAGATCCATCGAATAAAGCATTTCCCACAGAGAAGGTACTTATTACATGTTTATATCATTGTTAGCTCTTGGAGAAATGAGGTGACGATATTATCGATTACACAGGGTGACGGCTAGTTAAACCAGGGTAGCTGCTGTTAATTATTTTGTTAAAAGCTTTGGTTTGGGGAGGAGAAAGATCCAGATTCAAATTCAGGCTCCGCCATTTACCAGATGTATGATCTTGGGCAATTGGCTTCACCTCTCAATGCCTCGGTTTCCTTATCTATAAAACAAAGACTAAAGCAGTAGCCACGCCGTAGAGTTGTTTTGAAGATGCAACGAGAATGTAAAGTGCCTAGCACAGTATTTGGCACGTATCTCTTAATAAATGGTATTTATTCAGTTCTTTGCCAATGGCCCAGAAACCTCCCGAGAGAGGGACCCTGAATGTAGTATTTGGTCTTCAAGTCGGCCAGACTCAAGACTGGTCTGGTTGACTTCCCCTCCTTCGGCCTCAGGTTCCAATAACACGGATACCCTCAGAAGGTTGTGATGATTTACTGAGTTTACATACCTAGTCTGAGCCATCCATCACTAAGTAGCAGCTTTTACGTATTGTAATTGTTCTTCAACATTCTCCATCTAGCCCAGAGACTATCTGTGGGCTGTGACATGACAGCCCTAAGCTCCCCCGCACATTTGCTCCCAGCCTCAGTGTCCCATCTGTGAAATGGTAGTCATAGGACTTTTATGCCGGCCTTGTTCTGGTGATTCCAGGAGATAATTATGTTTATTATTTACACAGAGGCCAGCATATATTAAATGTTTAATAAATGTATCTTTCTTTTCTGTCATCCCCCCCTTCTGTAGGCCCCTCTATTTCTGTTTGTACTCATGGGGGAGACAAGATTAGTGCTTCTTATCCACCCTCCCCAAAGTTTACTTGCCAGAAGTTGAATTGTGGAACATAATTGAAGTATAAGAGCCTGAGAAGAGTTGGTGCAGACCTGCCATCAGTAGTAGCCTGCATATAGCCTCCCCCTTCAAGCCATGTATTCACTCCAATGCTTTAATGATTATTTTATTATATTTTGGTGCTGGGGATGGAATCCAGGGGCTTATGCATGCTAAGAGTGCTATTGACCACTGAGCTTCACTCTCAGCCCTGGTGCTTTAAAATTGTCTCAGTGTGGCTAACTCTTAACAGTGTGTCAGCCATACTACCCTTGAGCTCTAGCTCCAGACATGGAGCCTGTGTTTCCTTGATGTCCCTTGATGGTAAATACAACATGTCCAACTTTATCTCTTCCTCCTCCTGAACCTAGCAGTCACCATCTTGGCAAATGGGCCAACATTTACCCAGTCACCCAAGCTAGAAACTTGAGAGAGTTGCTCTTCTCCATCCTTCCCACATCCAGTTGATTGACAAGGATGGAGCCTCCATGTTATAAAAACACCATTTCATTGGCCCACATTGGTCTCTTATCTGATTAGCATTGGTTGTTCCCCCAAACCCTAGAGATGGTCTTTTCTGACAGGGTCAAGCTGTTAAAGCCACCAGTGATTAACATATGTGTCAATCAGGGGTAGAGAATACAATATGGACCTGGCTAGATTGCAGTGGCTCAGATGTGGCAGGAAGACCTGGCTTTCAAGAGACTCATTTCTATGGTTTTAGCCTGGCGAAGATGAGCTGAGTTGTTAATTTCTTTCTGAAAAATTATATTCTGTCATCTCTGGAAATAAGACAATGACTTAAAAAAAAAAACACCTTGATCTCCATTGTTAGTAACAACAGCACATGGTTTTTTTTAGCAGTCTGTAGAATAGTGTAAGAGTTAAATGTGAGCCTGTTTCCTGACAATGCAATTGTTAGGTGGTAAATCAGAAGTGGAATTTAGAATGTGCAATGATTGGTGCACATTTTGCTGGTATATTTCTTACTTAGGTTTAGCAACTTACAAAATATAAATTAGAGGTACTTACATTTTAATAAAAGAATCCAACAGTCATTTCTTTTAAAGTACAGTGTTTTTAGCTCCTACAGTGAGAAGCTATTAGACCAGTTGGTGCATCTATGTCTTCTTTAAGAATATTACTTCCATCCTTTTAGGATTGTTCTGGTCTTGGCCCATGTGTGTGCATGCACACATGTAAGATTGGTTTGAATTTGGCTTTAAAAAGTTATGCAAGAAATACACACTCATTTTAACATGTCAAAAAGAACAGAGATATAGAAGAAAAATAATAAATGCCACCCTTAACCCAAATTCCATTTCCCCAGGGATAACCATTAATTCCAACTGTGAATACTGAGTCGTGGAGTTTCAGAGTGAACAAAATAGATACACTCTCTCCCCTTAGTGATGCAGGTGGGTGTGCACACTCATCTTTGTCTGTGCTTATGTTCATCTGTATGTGCTTATATCAGTTGTTTTCTCCCTTTCCTTCCCTTTCTTCCCCTCCCCTGAAAAAAGGAGGGGTAAGGATCAAGATATACTTATTTGTAATTTGATTTTTTTCAGTTAGTGATTAGGCATATCCCGTCAAGTTATTGCATATGGGCCTGACTCATTTGATTAATGACTGTACTGATGTGCATGATTCCGCAGGATTCAGCATGGAGAGGCTATGCCTTATTCTACCATTCCCCTGTTGCTGGGCATTGAAGTTGTTTCTGAGATTTCTTTTACCCTAACAAGCACATATCCAATAAGCCTTTCACTGCCTTAAACATAAACATTATGGTATGGTGACTAAAAATGCAATCTCTGGGAGCTGCAGGGCCTGGATTCAAGTTCTGACCCTGCCTGTACTAGTTGCAGTTCATTGGGTAAGCCATTTGTCCTGGGCCTTAGTTTCCTGATCTGAAAATGAGAATGATATCAGTATCTTCCTCATGAGGCAATTACTGAGAAGTGTTCAATGAGATAATGTGTCAAGCTTATAGGGCAGGGCCTGGTGCTGTTGTTACAGGTAATGTTTAAAACCCAAAGTGATTCCAAGCCCTGTGGGGCAGGGGTCACAGGAAGTGCAAACACAGACATTGGCAATGCCAGGTAGAAATAAGAACAAATTATAAAGCAGGGGACCACTTTGGAGAATTGGAGGTTTAGGGTGACAGACCCAGCTGCCCTGGAATGAAGAAAGGAAGATTTGCTGAGAAAAGAAACATAGGAGCCAACAAGGCAGCCTGACCAAAGCAAGTGTGGGGGTGAGGGGCTGGAGGGGAGCATCTTTTCATATGTGAGAAGAGTAATGGTTGGAAGGTGGCTTAGGTGGCAGACCAGTCTGGGTTCAAATCTCAGTACTGCCACTCATTAATAAATGAATTTTTTTTATCTTGGTTGGCAAAATGAGGTTGATAGTAGTCTTTACCTCAGTGGTAGTTGGAGACTGCATGAAATGGCTGCAAACTCAGCCCACAAGGTTGGCATTGGCCCTATGTCAGCTACTGCTCTCATTTTATTCAGTTGACAAATTTATTGAGCACCTACCATGTGCCAGGTCCTGTTCTAAGCACTGCAGATTCAGTAGTGAAGAGGGCAGACAAGAGCCTTGCTCTTGGAGAGTTGCACAATAAACAAAATCATTTCAGATTTTGTATTAAAAGAAAAAATCAGGGGTTGGGGATTTAGTTCAGTGGTTCCGCTGCCTGCCTCACAGGCGCAAGGTCCTGAGTTCGATCCCAGATACCAAAAAAAATCAGATTCCAGCTTTTTGAGTATTGTGGAGAAAATAACAGGGTAAGAGGATATAAAGCAGCTGCTGGGAGGGATGGTGCTGGGGAAGGAGTGATGACTCGCATGGTTGGGGGAAGCCAAAGTTATGTGAGCTGAGCCTAAATGAGCAAGCAGCACCAGCTGTGCTGGGAGTTTGGGGAAGAATATTCAAAGGAGAGGGAACAGCAAGGGTGAAGGTCTGAGGTGGGAATGAATTTGCTATAAAAAAAAGTTTTTTTAGTTTCAAAACTAAAGGTCCTTCAGCAGAGTTTATTAAGTAAAATAAGGTTACCTGTTTGGCTACCACCGTACATAGGCTGACATGAGACAAAAAGAGTGAGCAGGGCTAGAGTCTCATTTGGCTGAGTTCTGTCAGAGAACTGGGCTA